GTGCGTGGGGGGGGGGGGGGGGACCCAGGAAGCAACATCTCAGCCTGCTGTTTCTCTTTCCTGTCTAAGTTGCTGAAATCACTCAATTAAACCACGGCAGTAGCCATGAGCGCTATTCACAAATCACGAAGCCCTCGTGCTGAGCCGCACTCTGCCACAAGATCGAACAGCTGTCTTGTCTCAGCTCACAATCGTCCTCTCGGTCCAAAGCATGGAGAAGGACATCCGTCCCCTCCGAACCTGATCCAAATGCTCCGCTTCGCTAAATATAAATCATTTATCTGAAGAGTTCAAAATCAGATCAATTGAACTGTACAAGCGAAGCAGTTTGCAGAAAGGAAGCGAAGCAAGTTTGAAAAGAAAATGTCTGAGCTGAGCATGCATCTGTTCTCAGAAAAGATCATTGAGATCATAGCCGCGAGAACGTATTTTGAGCTGGGGGGGCTGAGAAATAAAAGGGGGGGGGGCACGTGACAAGAGGGATGCTAGAAGACTGACACTATATGATGGCGGATCCAAAGCGCAACTTTTGTTAATAAAACTTTAATTTATTCGTTTAATAGCCTATAAGTGAGTGTCTTTGTTGCTGGGTTTTGATTAAAAAAATAACAATGAACCACAAACTAAGCATTCCTTTTAAATAAGGGAAAATACCTTATTTATTTGGGTTACAACGGCTATATCCATCTTATTCATTTTGTCAATGCAAGGTAGATGTTTAATATATGCGAATTTGCCATTGTACTATTTTATGGCTGATGTGTTTTAATTAATAAGATAATAAACCACAAACTACGAATGTTTTAAGGTAGCCTGAGGGGAAATCCATAGGCTATTTATTTGTGTTAAAGGCACTGTAAACCCGAACAGTACTATTAACTTATAAAGATTAAGAACACTGCAATTAAAGTCTGTTAAATCGTTGATGCAACTTATAACAATTACATTTTCTGAACGAGGAATTTAGTTTTATTTTTGTGTGGCTCAACAGTTTTGAGTAAACTCTTCTATTTAAATTATTATTTTTAAGTTTACTGAGTGATGTAAAGTGACGTCACCTCGTTGCTCTAACCGAGGTTCAGAAGAATCCATTCAACATGGCGGAGACTCGCAAGCGACCGGAGCAAACTTAATGGAACAACTTGTAAGTAAATCAAAACAACTGTGAAAATTTCTTATTTGCTTTTTGAGTGTTGTAAGAATATCATGATAAAGTAATGTTTTCATTTTTGAGAAACGCTGTTTTTACACAGCATTGTGCATTTGTGCTTTTGAATGCGCATTTTGAATGCTATTTTAGCGTCACTGCTTATAGTATAATGTTAACATCAAAGAAG